CTGGGCCTCGGTTTCTCCATTTGGAAGAAGGTGATGTGAAACTATTGATTTATTAAATATTACTATCTTTTTTATTCATAAAAACAGAGAATTACTATGAGGAGTGCTAGTAACAATGTATTCAGAAGACTTCCCTGGGCAAAATATCTAGAATATTAATTCCATATTGAGAGAAAAATCTATTCATCTACACCCCACTACTTCCACTTTATGCCTATTTGGTAGAGATGGGGAATGAGAAGCTACATTTGACTTATGAGACCTATTAGTTTAGAGAAACTTGTATTACGTGAAATTTTTATGAACCGACCTCCTCCTTGTACTGATGCTGTTTTTTAAACTTGTTTATTATGGAAACTAGTGGATAGAAGGCCTGGATGATTTCATGTTCTCTATAATAAATCAGAGTTATTAATCACCATGGTGTGTGGTGTAGCTGGTTGCAGTTTTCTCAATCAAAGAGTGAAACAAAGTAATTTTTATATGCTATTTTTAGGCATTTTTGGCTCTATAATGAATATTATTTTCAATATAAAACAGTAATTCAGAAAACAAAGCACTGTATTTTTGTGACTCTGGGCTATTTCATCTCCCTCAAAGCAACCTATGTTATAAGCTCTTATCTTTAGAAGTTGCATTCTTGCAAGGCTATTCTACAAGAATGCACACTTTGCTTAGACTCAAATCCATATGACATATTCAATTCATTATGTTGGGATTGATACTAAAAAATGTCAAATAGTTATTGGATAATTACATATCATTAGAAGATAATGTTTTTCCTTTAGCTTAACATTATTTAACAATTTTTTGACTGCTATGTTTGAAGTTCTTGAGTTACAATTTTTAACCTAGATACTCCTCTAAAGCTTTTGAGATGGCTTTTAAAAATGTTTGTGAACCAGGTACGGTGGCTCACACCTGTAATCCCAGCACTTTGGGAGGCTGAGGCAGGTGGATCATTTGAGGTCAGGAGTTTGAGAGCAGCCTGGCCAACATGGTGAAATCTTGTGTCTACTAAAAATACAAAAATTAACCGGGCCTGGTGGTACACACCTGTAGTCCCTGCTACTCGGGAGACTGACCCAGGAGAATCACTTGAACCCAGGAGGTATAGGTTGTAGTGAGCCGAGATCGCACCATTACACTCCAGCCTTGGTGACAGAGCAAGACTCTGTCACACAAAAAAAGAGAGTTTGTACAGTCCTTGAGTGTTTAAATGGAACACCAACTGCTGGTTATTGTGCTCATCTATATCTACATAACAGAGCTCAGAAAGTCTCTAAGGAGAAAGAACACCATGTTTCTTGGAGCTATGCAATGAAGACTCTTTTCTCTATTCTTCTTGGGTATTTTGTGTTGTCAGCATTGAATTTGTTTCAGTTAAGTGGGGAGTCACAAACTTCAGCTGGATTTCCCAAACTTGTTTGATCCTCACCTGGGGTGTTTTTAAAAAATGGAGTGCTTAACAAAGGCCTATGTTCAGAATTTTCATTCGAGAATTTGTTCTTTAGGTCTAAGGCAGTACACAGGAGATAGTTAGGATCAAGCAGATTTGCAAATAGTGTCATTGAGGAAAGCCCAGGATCAGCTAATTCTGCATGATGATCTCATTTCCAAGAATGTACAAATCAACTGAGTTGGGCAAAAATAATGTTTAAAATAAAGAATGAAACACCCTACACAAATGCCATAACATTGGAAGAAAATTCATCTTTCCTTTTGGTCCTTGCAGAACTGTGTGTTTTTAGGAGCATATTGTCAATCTGCAGTATTAGGAACTATAAGACCGTGCAACGCTGATTCTCCTTACAGTTGCTATTGATGAAACAATTCCAGACTGGTTGTTAAAATGACCAAATTCGCTCTTTCACTTGCCTCGTGGTCCAGGTGCTTGGCAGAAATAGACCCAATGACCATTTTTAATTTCAGTTACTAGTACTCCTACTTCGTTTATTATTGATAATATGGACACTCTCTGGGAGTGTTTTCAGAATTTTCAATCACTTGTAAAATTCTGGATTATGGTGGCTACGGGTGAAAATGGCTATATCTACATAGGTGACTTAGTGAATATGGAACTGTTGTTCTCAACGCTCCAGCCCTTCATTAGGAAATCATGGACAAGCTTGTTTTTCTTGCCTGGGTTTACCACAGCCAAGCCCACGTGGCTGGAGACGAAACTGCCTTCTTTAAAGCACACCAAAAATGTTTACTGTAGGTCTTCTCCTCAATTTTCACAATTTTATTGGTCTTTAATAAGCATTTTCTCAAGAGCTTGGCAGTTTCCAAATGTTTTAAAATCTTTTTTTACTAGCGGCTTCCACGACACGCCTGTGGAGTGGGTCTGTGCTCTCAATCATGTTTTTATGGGACGTGTATGAGCAGAAACGCAAAGAGGAGAGACACAATCCCACTTTTAAGCTCAGTGCCTTACTTTAACCCACAGGGAGAAAAGGAGGACTTGCCTGCTCCTTCATGTTTGATGTGCTATGAGCAGCTTCAGTGATGTGGTTTCAACAGGCAGGTGCTTTCATTTCATTCTGTTTCTATTAAAAAACCTCCTCAGAAATGCAATTGATGGCAAATTTGGGAAAGTCGATTCTACAACTCATAAGGATGAATGTATTGCTTAAAAGCTAAGCTAAACAACACCAAACTTTAAAAAACTACCATGTAATTCTGGTTGTAGGGAATAAATCCCACAATATGATTTTTTAGTATGGATAGGTGACAAATTAACGTAATGATATAATGACTTGTGTACATCTATTCTTTACACAAAAGGTGTTTAATTTACTGAAATACAAGCTTGTGATTAAGATCTAAGAATTTTCTTTAATAACTTTCTGATTCTTCAGCCCCCTTCCTAGAAGCAATCCTTTACGTTTGGCCTATTTAAGCTCTCACAAAAACTATTCATCACAATTCTATGTGAGTTCTGAATATTTCTTTATTTAACCATCTCCAACTTAAAATTTTCTTTAGTCACAATTGCATCACTCATTGGGCATTTGAAAACTTGAGTTTAAAGACCTAATAACCCCTTCATTCCCCTCTTTCTTTTACAACACTTCAGATACATAGTTGTTAGGAAGCGGAGTTATTAACTCTAAATTAGTTTTTTAAAAAAACCTAAATAAGTAGCTCTTCTAGTAAAATTTATAAGTTTGTAGAAGGCACAGAGAGTCTGTCTTCTCCAATAAATATTTGAATTAAGTGATAGTAGTTTTTTGCTCATTAAAAAATGTTTTCAATAAGAAGCAATGTTTTGATAAATGGAGGAAAAAATTCAAATTACATAAAGCTTTGTAAAATTGTTTTCATTATCATATACATTTATTTTTAGAAGTCTGACTTTGTTATAGAATTATGTTATTTTTGTGATGTTAAAAGTTGAATTTATTTCTGCCTTAAACTAAATTTAAAACTGCTTTTCATTATTTGCTTTTTATGTAGAAGGTTAGAAAACAAATAGTCCAGCAAATGAGAGTTCAATGTCAATAAAAAATCTCCAATATGTATAACTAATAACTATTGAAAATATTTTTATTGTTAATAACTTGTTAATTGAGAAAATCAATTTTATTTATCAGAGCAAAAATAAAAATTCATATTTAGAAAAATTTCATTTCTCTTTTCCTATTCATCTAGTCCATAGATCAAAAGCAATCAAAACATGTATTTTGGGGAAATATACAATTATGTATATGAATTTTGCTTTTATATAAAGGTAAAATGTAGGACAAAATAGGTTAAAGGAATTTTTGAATTTTTAAATGCAACTACACGTATTATTAATATGTATTAGTGTATCTTACTTTGTGTCAATAATATTTTTACTTACTTCACACATCATGAAGATTTTATATTTATCTCAAATAATGAATTTCAGAATGATGCAATAAAAGCTGACCTACATTTTAGAAATTATTTTACTGAATAACTTTTGATGGTGATATTGTAAGATAAGATAATTCCAGAGAAACACCAATAAACTAAACTTTCTTAAGAGGAAGTTGGTGAGGCTTTAATAAATTAAATAGAGGCAAATTCATTCCACTATAACTTTTAGAACAAGTATACTGCACTGAGATTAATTGTTCTTTTTTGTCTGCCTCTCTTTTAATTAATTTTAATTATCATCATCATCATTCAAAATTTGACATTCCTAATACATTGTCTTTTCACAGAACTTTCCTTGTACATCAAAGGATGGGTTGAGGGTGCTGTCGACCAATTCTATTCCTCCGATCTCTTCAAACGCAGAGTCACCCAGGCTCTGACAGTTTTGACACATGCATAAGGACTGGCTACTTTGCATTTTTTTTAATATGGCAGAAAATTCGAACTAATATTTTGACAATAAACACTGAAATGAGGGGCAATATTTCTTTAGATTTCATTGAATGGAAAAAGAATGAGAAAAAGGAAAATGGAAGTAATCTTCGACCTTGTAGAAAATGGGTGAGTTCCCTGGAACTAGGATCGGCTTTTACAACATCCTCCTCAGCCCTTCCTTGTACAGTGTAGGATTTTGGCTTTAAGGTAGAGATTTCTGTCAATATCATAGGATCTAATCATTCAATGCATCATTCAAGAATGACAACAATAAAGATATAATTAGCCGTCATTGTAGTCAAGTTTACTACATTTCCCAGTAGGAAGCACATCTGTGTTTTTAGTCCCTGTGAAACTGAGGTCCAGTCTATAAGGGTGGATTGCACACAGATCTTCCAGACGAGTGATTATTTTCTAGGGCAAAGGGATGGATCTTGCAGAGTTAGTTTTCCTGCAGTAATAAGCCTGATGGGATAAATCCAAACGCGCTAACCCTGTATCTAAGGAACCCGGAATGGTGAGTGTAACTGAGACCCATCTGGTAGCCGTGATTCAACACACACCTTAGCGGCACTACCCCAAAAAGAAACACGTTGAACCCTTCCAAAAACTCATTCTCAAGGCATGCACATGCAAACAAAGAGAACCCCAACACTCACAGTTCATTTGAATTCACAAGGGGAAATTTTCGGGATGATGGTTGCTTTGACGTTGTCTTACTGTTGCAGAAGGAAGTCAAACCTGTTTTTAATTGCAAAACCAAATGGTTTATGCATGGGCTCTGCATGCTTGTGTGAACATGTTGCTTTTATAACCCCCTCCCCGCTCCACGAACACGAGACTAGGCTTGCCAGCATTGTGTTTGAGCGTGGTCACATTTAAAATGAAGAGCCTTGCAGGGGTTTTTGAAGGTGAGTGGGTGGGGGGGGGGATGTCAATCTGTCAGAGATGTCACCATAAGTGGATCTATCTGCCTATGTGTTACCACTTGCTAATTATGGATTTGGGTGATAATTGTCATACGCTTTGCCACAAAATGTGCAGTAAAATGCATTTTCTGGGGGTAGAGAGTGATGTGCGGAGAGGGCCGAAGCTAGGCTCTAAGGGCTTGTAATCTACAGATTGAAAGGCTGTGCTGTAGGATTGCCTTACTGTTTAATGTTCCAATGAATACACATATTGTTGTGTGTGTCGGGTTGCTTTAGGCAACATTGCTGGCATTCCATTTTAGGAACGATGTGTGTATGCAGAACCGAGTCTGCAGAGAACTTTCTCTTCATATGGCCATAAAGGGCCTTCAGGAATACTGTCTCCTTATGAGTACTGTCCTGGAGAGGACTAAGAAAGAAGATCAAATAAATGGCTGATGAAATAAGGAGCTTCCTTGTGTTTGTAAGTAGCAGGCCAATCACATCAAAGCTCAGTCTTGGAAAAACTTTGAGATGGGTCTTAAATATTTGTTGTTCCAAAGATTACTTACAGATAAGGAAGAGAAAAGCCAGAGAAAAAGGCCAGTGATGTATGAAGGAAATCTATGCTTTTTGCAAAGCATCTACAATAAAAGGCATAACCTAAATATAGTTTCTGCTTCTGCGTTCAGTCCTTGAAGCTATTGCCACCACCAGCCACTGGTTGATTCATGAACTGTCATTATCACTTCATCTCTACTCAATCTCTGATCACTCTTCCCTCATCTGTTCTCATCTGCATATGTATGCGTACACACACATGCGTACACACACATGCACGCACACACATGCATACACACACATGCATACACACACACGCACACACACATGCACACACATGCACACACACATGCACACACACATGCATACGCACATGCATATGCACATGCACACAAACATGCATACATATGCACACACATGCATACACACATGTGCACACACATGCACACACATGCGTACACACATGCACACACACATGTATACACACACATGCACACACATGCATACACACATGCATACACACACATGCACATATACAAACAGCGCTTAGTTTGGTAACATAAGTCCCAGTGTTGAGTTTAAGAAGTCCACCCTCTAGTTGGTGAATACAATTGGTGTCTTGTTCTGATACTATGTGAAAGACTGTGAGTTGAGTTTTCTTATGGGCAGGGACGATGCCTTGCTTATCCTTCTGCTCTCAAAGCTGGTGTCCACTAAATATTGAGGAAGAAAGGATCCCTCCTAAAAATGCCCTTCTGAAAACTATTATTTTCTACTAAGAGAAGGTGAGTGCCTGGAGATCAGGGTCTCACTGGACACTGACGTTTGTTAGTCCTTGATGCAATTAAGTAAGTGGCTTTTGGCCTGATCTATAGAAAGGAAACCTTCCCTAAAGGAGGTGAAATCTCTACCTGTGAGTGACCTGTGCTCAGATTCAGACCACAGAGTCTAAGCAAATACACTGGACATTCTCTACTGATATATGCACAGTTAGTAGGATTCACTGGCCAACGGTTAGTAGTAACTGTTTTGTTCAACTCCAAAAGCATAGGAGTTGAACATGTGCTCTCAAAGCTGGCACTTAATACATGTTCCTGGGTCACCTATCCTTTTGCCCCCTTTGCCCACTGCCTGCCCTTGTGCATAGATTGTCATAGGGATGGATAAACACGGTCATGTGCAAACTCTTGCCTATGCTTTCCTTCTAACCTGGAACACCTACCCCTTACTTCTCATAAAAGACCAGTGGTATTTATTTATTTCAGGGTCCAGCTCATCCATGGACTCTTCTCAATCCGAGAAGCAGGGTACATCATAATAGTGCTTTGACCCACTGATTTCCTTGGCTCAGGTTCAGGAGCTGGTGCTTGACAACCTTCTCTGGTCTTTGTTGCTTCTAATCTACTCATTCAGAGGATGTAACACCAATGTAGAACCTAAAATATATTAACCTCCCTGAAGACAGGGATAAAAATGATAAAGTCAGTTATGTATTATGAATCAACAAACTGTATGGAAGATGTCACAAAAATGACATGCATATTTCACATCAAGGGTATTATTATTACACATATTTAATAAAATGAAGGCATTAAAGCTCAGATACCTTGAATGGTTTGGCTGGAGGCATTTGTTAGAAGCCAAACTGGAACTCAGATTCAGGTCTGTAAAACTTGATGCTGTCATTTATATGCTGCATTTCCCTTTGATATAAGTGGCATCATAGAAGAAGAACACTATGAGAAGGAAGAAGAGGCTTGTCAGTTGCCAGGGCATGTCAGGTAGAATTAGATTATTTGCCGTTGTGCTTAGTCCAATGGGATAATGAAAAGACAACCAAAGAGTTCTATCTTCTACAATTAGGGCCTAGAGGAAAAAGGATTTTATTTATAGTACACGTGTAAGGAGGTGTGTGAAGGGTGGGAGGAGGTGTGTGAAGGGTGGGAGGAGGTGGGCACTGGGAGGATGAGATGTCATTTAGTCTGTGAGTGACTGTCATCTGCAGAGGCCTGTGTTCAGAGTCTGGACATAAGAGGAAGGATGCAGCTCCTTGTCTTCATCATCCAAGAGCTACTTAATAGTCCAGTGAGGAAGAGAAAATGTAGGAACAAAGCCAAATGGAATAAAGAGTGCTTTTTAGTGAAGCTCACCGAGATCATGGCGAACACAGAGGAAGTGGACTTAGCCCAGCCAAGGTGAGGGATGTCTAGGGAATGAGGTAACAGGTGTGATAGATCCGAGGCTCTAGCGCGGTGAGAATATAAGTGGCCTGGCTTCCCAAACACGTAAGTCCCCTGTGCCAAGCAGTGACTCAGGACACGTGGGAATAAACTCCAACAAGAAAGGGGTACCTCAGAAACACATTGCTCATAGGCACGTAGAATGTGCCAACCAGGGATGGCCACATGATTTGGAGACCCAGAGCACACTAAAAATGCAGGGCCTCTTGTTCAAAAAGGCAGGAGAAAAGTGCTGTGAAAGGCTTTATAAGACAAAGCTTTTTGGGAGGCCGAGGCGAGCGAATCACAAGGTCAGGCGATCAAGACCACCCTGGCTAACATGGTGAAACCCTGTCTCTACTAAAAACACACACACACACACAAAAAATTAGCTGGGCGTGGTGATGGGCACCAGTAGTCACGGCTACTCAGGAGGCTGAGGCAGGAGAATGGCATGAACCCGGGAAGCGGATCTTGCAGTGAGCCAAGGTCGCGGCCCTGCGCTCCAGTCTGGGCGACACAGCAAGACTCCATGTGAAAAAAGAGACAAAGCTTTTTCCTTCCCTCAAGGAACTCCCCCTCTCTCGAGAGTGTTTTCTATTTGCATTTGCTGTTTGATACCATTCTTGGTAAAGAAAATTTAAAAATGTTGATTATCAGTATGGATTTCACCACTCATTTTTTTATTGTACAATACTAGTTTTCCTTGAAATTATAAGAGCATTTAACTAGTATGCAAAACGACTATAATTACACAATGCCTGTTTTGTAGCTCGTGTATGCATATGCAGTTATTGTTACCAGAACAGAGGAAGCACTGCACAGAAATAACTGACCATTTTCTTTTTTTATTTTTTGAGATGGAGTCTCACTCTGTCGCCCAGGCTGGAGTGCAGTGGCTCCATCTCGGCTCACTGCAACCTCCCCCTCCTGGGTTCAAGTGATTCTCCTGCCTCAGCTTCTCGAGAAACTGAGACTACAGGCACATGCCACAACACCCGGCTAATTTTTGCATTTTTAGTAGAGATGGGGTTCCACCATGTTGGCCAGGATGGTCTCTATCTCCTGACTTCGTGATCCACCCACCTTGGCCTCCCAAAGTGCTGGGATTACAATTTCACTTCTTGATACATGCACCTTCTAACAACACAATGCACTGATCTTGTGCTCTCGAGTCTCTCTGAATTCCTACACACCGTGGGTCATGGGGCATCACAGATGTTCAACGTGAATAAGGCGACAAGGAACAGAGGAAACACACATTATGTGTATTTTTGCTGCTTATGCCTATTCCTCATTGTCTCATTGGATGTGATTTATAAAACATTAGAAAAATATAAAATTATTAAGAATTTCAAGGCAGTGATAGCAGAGCACTACATCAAGCGTCGGATCCTCTGAGCCTGGGGATCTGCTGGGATTGCACAGGTTGCAAGCTCATCCAGTCTTGCTGTCGACACAATTCCATCTGTGAGGATGAAGCAAGGTCAAAATATCAAACAGGAGTTCTCTGCTCTGTGATGCTTGGGCTGAGAGATCGCCTATCCCCCATCTTGCTGGAAGTCCAAACCAGGAAAACAAAACTGATATTCATCAGGAAGGATACATTGACACTCACATATGCCAGTGGGAACTTGAGCAGGGACCCAGCTGATTTGACCTTCCTGCTCATCCTGTAGGTTTTCTGCACTGGATGGCTTGATTTTTCCTCTTTGTTAATAATAGGGTCAAGGCCAGCCAGGCACGGTGGCTCATGCCTGTAATTCCTGCACTTTGGGAGGCCAAGGTGGGTGGATTATCTGAGGTCAGGAGTTCAAGACCAGCCTGGTCAACATGGTGAAACCCCGTCTCTACTAAAAATACAAAAAAAATTAGCCAGGCATGGTGGTAGGCACCTGTAATCCCAGCTACTCGGGAGGCTGAGTCAGGAGGATTGCCTGAACCTGGGAGGCAGAGATTGCAGTGAGCTGAGATTGTGCCATTGCACTCCAGTCTTGGCAACAAGAGCAAAACTC